GCGAATGTAAATTCAACGAAAACATGAGAAATGAACGTCTACGTGACAGACTTGTGTCAGGCGTTCGCGACGACAAGATGCTTAGAGACTTGTTGAAAGAGAAACTAGAAGATTTAACATTTGACAAGGCCGTGGCTAAGTGTGTAGCTCACGAACAGGCCAGTAAAGATGTCCATGCCCTAAAGGGAGATGGGGGACAGGCCGTTGCAAAGGTTCAAGTGTTGAACAGCGCCAAACCACCACGGAGAAGGCGCAAATCAAGCAAAAATGCAAATGGACAACCGTCTGCAAACCGCGAGCTTGACACTAAGCCACAAGGAAATACGTGTCATCGCTGTGGTGACATGCATGACTCAAAAACTTGCAAATTTAAAAATGCAAAGTGTCATGGCTGTGGTAAGGCAGGACATATCAAGAGGGTCTGCCGAAACTCAACCAGTAAGGAACAGTCAGTACATGTTTTACAATGTAGTGATGATGATGTAAGCTCATCAGAGCTTTACCGGCTAGGCACAGCAGACAAACGTAAACCTATGTGTGTAGATGTTATGTTAGAGGGTCACACATTCAACATGGAAGTGGACACCGGGTCAGCGGTCACTGTTGTCAATGAAGGACTCTACCGTGAACACCTACGACACGTGCCCTTGAAAAGCACTCGCCTTCAGYTACACACATACACCGGTCAAAMAGTTACGCCTACAGGAGTATGTACGGTTACAGTCAATTATGAGGAGCAAGAGAAAGAGCTCCCTGTCTATGTGGTGCCAGGAATTGGTCCAACACTCCTTGGTAGAGAGTGGCTGCGAGAAATCACGCTGAACTGGTCTTTACTTAAGCTGATTGCAATGGAACCGGACGGCCTKACAGAGGTTCTKGAGAAACACAAAGCAGTGTTCGGGGATGATCGGGGTCATCTCAAGGACATTAAGGCAAAATTTACTCTCACTGCTAATGCAAAGCCAAAGTTTTGTAAGCCCAGACAGGTTTCCTTGTCAAAGAAGAAACTCATAGAGACAGAACTGGACAGGCTGGAAGCAGAAGGAGTTATAAGAAGAGTTACTCATAGTGACTGGGCTGCACCTATTGTGGCACCCTGGAAGAAGGAYGGAAGCGTTCGGGTTTGCGGCGACTACAAGGTGACTGTGAACCCTTACCTGGAAGTTGATGTATACCCTTTGCCCCGCATCGAAGACATCTACGCGAGTCTCAACGGTGGCACAGTGTTCTCAGTTCTTGACCTGAAACAGGCATACCTACAGATGGAGGTTGACGAGGCGTCGCGCAAGTATGTCACTATCAATACTCATCGGGGGTTGTACGAATATCAAAGGATGCCATATGGTATAGCCTCTGCCCCAGCCCTCTGGCAGAGAGCGATGGACCAGGTTCTACAGGGAATAGATGGAGTCCAATGCTATATCGATGACATTGTTATCAGTGGAAAGACGAAGGAGKAACATCTGATTACCATGGATAAAGTTCTAGAAAGATTGGAGGAGAACGGACTTAGAGCTAACAGAGGTAAATGCTCATTTCTGAAGGACTCTGTTGAGTACTGTGGACACATCATATCATCAGAGGGTCTGCGACAGTCCCCCAAAAAGGTGAAGGCAG